CTCCCTCTCTCCTTCTCTGTTGCAGTGACGGAATTTCAGCTGTGTTGGACTGATTGATTGTTGCTGTTGCATGTGGTTGAAGTACACGGGCTGGCCTCGTTTCATTGCATTATTGGCATGTGCACTTCCCCAGCGGCCTACGAAATATGAAAATTAAATTGCACTAAAATAAGTTAACTGAATTGTGTGAGGCGCTTTCCGTGTCTCGAATCGATTTCCATAAAAATTTGGGGGGTGTCGAGTGGGTGGGGCGTGATGTTGCCACCGCCCGTAGTAGAGTTAGAGTCAACGAGAACAGAAAGGCTTCATTTGAGTGGAGAAGTATCAGGCGCTTCATAAAGTGGCGATGTTAGCCGCCAGAGAGTCTTCGATGACTACCAGTTGGTTTTGTGAGGAAATGCTTCATGCTCATAATCGACTCCGGCAGCAGGTCTGCTCATCTCTTTCCAAATTTTCCTGAATATTTCTTTTTTTTTCCTCCTTTCCTCTCTTTCTCCGCGTTTGCATGTGTGCGTGTGTGACAAGTATCTCTCGCTATAAATGTAGCCAGCTTTCAACTGTCATTGAATGTTTTCAAGCTATTTCGGCACACTCCTGGATGGTTCTAATCCTGAAACCACTGCCCTTGCTGCTGATGCCTCCTGCTTCTTTTGCAAGCTGTTGAGCTGACTGTTGCTGTTCTCAGTTTCTTTCCAATTCCAAAAGCACACTTTATCCCTCTGTACGTCTAACATATGCCACTTCGGCACTGCTCATTTGTCCCCTCTTGCCTTAGGCCAGATCCTTTCAATTCAGCCAACCTGCTGCAAGTGTTGCATGCATAGTTCTTGATTTTTACTGCAATTTTAAATTTAAAAAGAATGTGAGGTAGTTCTCGGTGACTTTCTCGCAGACATCTAAGCGTTCTGCAGCAGCTGCTGCAACCTGCAGGATTCGCTGAATCTCAAGTAGATGCTCTGTGAAATGTTCTTTTTTCCATACATCTGCACAGAAAGTTACTTGATTTTTGTGCAAAAAATGCATTCTGCAGTAAAATTAGTGTTCAAAATATCACAGCTTTTGCTTTAGTCTTAGAACTTTCATTCCCGATTGTTTATGTCATCGCTCAGTCTTGCTCAGTATTACCAAGAGCAGCAGTCCAAAAAACTTCATAGAAGGCTTGTGATGATTTCTGCGCTGTTGCGACCCTTCCTGTTTTCAGTGGAGACGCTCGCCTGATTAACTTCAGCGAGTCCGCTGGCAGGCCAGCGATGGTAGTTGTTAGCTGTTGGAGTGAGGAATAATGGTAGTGGTACAGTAGCTTTATCAGCGATTCTGTCAGTGTTTTTTTTTTGTTTTGTCGCTTCATAGTTTATTGTCAGCTGTGCATTGTTAAATCAGACACCGTCTTCTATGCCAAACATTTGTGCAGTGACGTTTCCTAGCGGTGGGGAGAGGAAGGGCACAACAGAGGAGGGGTATTTTGCGCGGGGAAACGCTGCGAGGTGTTCTAAAAGAAGTAAAATTAATTTGGAATGTGCTATGCCGTGCCATGAAACCAAAAGTTGGGTGGTGAAGTGTAGTAAAATTGTCATTTTTAAGCAGGGACGGGAACATACCAGAACTGGCCTGTGACCTCCCTTCATCCCTCATCCACCCGTGTTGGAAACTAAGCTACAGTCACTGGCACAACATTAAATGCTTGTTGCTGGTAGTAATAAAATAACAATAAAGAATGCTGTGCAAATTTCTAGGATTTTGAGGATCGTGAGCAAAAATTTAGCACTCAATGTGCGCTTGCTGTGGGGATTTAGATCCGCGAAAAGTTTTGTCTGCCCGTGGTTTAATTGTTCTCGCTGCAGCAGTTGCAGTGGTCGTGTAACCGTTACTGCTTTAGTCAAAAAATCAGCTTCTCAGTATTTCGCATCTTTGTGATCCAGTAGGACTTGGTACCGATCCGAGTTACTGCACATTGCCAGAGGCTAGAAACACTGCCAGTGGCTTCTTCCCACAGTCACTTCAGAAGCAAGCTGGAGTTATAAAATGCTTCTGTCTTTGCAGTCGGACTTAATTCACTGTTCGCATAGGCTCCGTACCGTTTGTTTATCACAAAACAGTGTTTATATATATATATATATATATAT